CATATAACTTATATATTTTATTTCTACCACTCATATTTGATATTAAAATAAACTATATGTGATAAATTGATATGTATGTAATATTAAAATTTTAAATATTAAATATATAAATATAATAATATAAAGAGGTATGTACGTAAATCTTCCTAAAATAAAATATTAAATATGTAATTCTCCATATTAACACGCAGGTGGTCTATAATTGCGAACCAGCTCCCCGGTCGAACCGATAACGATGTGAAGAACTACTGGAACACGAAGCTGAGCAAGAAGCTGGCCCTCAACGGCATCGACCCCGTCACCCACCGCCCTATCTCCGAGATCAAGCAAAGTATAACCACCCTCCACATCGCCGCCGCCACCGCCGCCATCTCCACCCAACCGTTTTCCTCCGCCGCTGGCGTCGGCCTCTACGACTCCCGCCTCACCACCCTCAACCGCGACCTCAAAAAAATCCTCCTTTCACATTCCACCCCGCCGCCACTCGAACCTGCAACTCTTCCAGCACATTGGAACGAAGTCAACCGAAACGCTGCCGGAGTACGTGCACTTCCGCCCGCGCCGCCGACACTGCAGGAACTCGAATGGATTCAGTTTCTGGCGGAGGATGCTTTCTCGTGCCTTGAGGAACAAGATGCTTGTCGTGCGCCGTCGTTCGTTGCCGTTGACGCTGATTTTGGCGGCTTGGAGGAGGCGGCCGATGGGCCGAGTTCATTTATTGAGCAAATACTCGATCGAGATCGGGAGATTATGTCGGAGTTCGCCGGTTTTGTTGGCGGTCATTATTATTTTTAAATTTCTTTTCTCTTTTTTATTATAAAAACTGGATTTTCTATTTATATTTTATTAAAAATGAAGAAGAAAATGATCAGTATTTTTTTTTTTGCTTAATTTTTCAACTTTAATTATTATATGTTTAGTTCGACTGGCAATTTTTACCGTTAGTTTGGTAGATATTTGATTTAATTAGTTCAAATATTTTTAAGGAAAAAACGTAAGTCATGATATCATAATTAATATAATTAGAACTGATTTATAGTCATTTAAATTATTTCGGAAAAACGTTTATTGTGAAGCGACGGGTTAGGGTTTTCTCGTCTCTTGCGCCGCCCTCTGTCGCTGAACTCTCTTCTGCTCCTTCCTCCTCCGGCTAGGCCGGAGGACTCCGATCTCCTTCGTCAATATGGCAGATCTTCCCTCTGCATCTGATTTTCCTCCTCTTGGATCTTCATCTGGAGGAGCGCCGCATGTTTTGCCGAGGAACTGGAATCAGGTATTTGCTCCTGATGCTTCGGCTCTTAAAGCCTTCCACTTTACACACCATCCGTCTGAGCCTGAGATCATACCTTTCTCGGATGATAAGCTGTGTAAGGGTGGGGAAGAATGGAAGCTCTGCCTGGTCGGCTATTCTATTGGTCGCAGGCCTTTTTATGAGGCTCTGTTGGGGGCTATTAACAAAACTTGGAGATTAAAGGGCTCTCTGCAGCTTCTCTCCTTAAATGACGGTTTCTTCCTTCTCTGATTCTCTTGTCAAGAAGATTTTGACATGGCGTGGTCACGTGGTGTCTGGTTTTTTCTTGGTAAGCCATTTGTTCTACAAAAGTGGCATCCGAAGTTCAAGCCCAAGAAGGAAGAGTTCTCTGCTGTTCCGATCTGGGTGAAAATACACGATCTCCCGCTTGCATGTTGGAATTCGGAGGGAATATCGCGCATAGCCAGCAAAGTAGGGATTCCGGTAGCAGCGGACAAGCTGACGGAGCAAAAGACCAGGCTCACGTTCGCTCGTATATGTGTGCTTGTGGACAATCTTGCTACCTATCCGGAGGAAATACAGGTATCATTAGATGGTGATGTTGTCTCTCTGAAAGTCCAATACGAATGGCGTCCGACCCCTTGCGAGCACTGTAAGTCCCTAATGCACGCCTCTTCTTTTTGCCCGACAAAGCCTAAGTTGGCATCTGAAGAACTAGCTAATGCTAATGATAACGCTGGAATCAGAGGGAGAAGTTATAGTAGGAAGCCCCGAAACAGACATAATTCTAAAAGCCAGAATATCTCTAGACCCCCAATTACACCTATTGTTCAGCAAAATTCTGAACAGATTACCACAAAAACCCAATCTGCATCACAGCCTGCTGTTAACATCACCAATGCCATAGGGAAAACTCTTTCATTTCAACCACACTCACCTACCTCCCAAAATATTCCCCCAAATAATATGTCTGTAGTAGAAGACCTCCCTATAACTGATTCTCTGCCTCCGGTAGATGCTATTGTCTTGGGTATCCCCAATCTCAACTCACCTCAAGAGGCGATCTCTTCTTCTTCCACTACTCATAACTCTGTTCCTGCTAAAGATTTTATATCGCCAAATAAGTTTGATGCTCTTAGTATTGAGGAAGAACAAACACTTCAGTCTGATGATAATGTGAGCTTAGACAGTAAGTTAGATACTGGGGCTGGGGGCAAATCCAAGGCCATGGAAAAGGGTAAGCAAATGCAAGCTAGTACAGCGTCCAAAAAACCTGCTAGGGGGAAGCAGAACAAAAAACCCCTGCCTCATATTAAAAATTAATGTTTTTTCCACCCATGGCGGCGTGGAATATCAGGGGTTTTAATCACCCTGATAAAGTTTTCAGTTGTAAGCGTCTTATCAAATCTTTTAACTTAAGTGTGATCTGCATTCTGGAAAATAGGATCAATTCAAATTATCTCCTGGATCCTTTTTTCGAGTCTTCTCACTCTATGTTTCCTATAGAAGAAAGCTGTCACAACTTCAACTTATCCTCCTCGGGTAGGATATGGGTCAAGTGGGATGCCTCTAAGCTGTCCTTCAAGCCTTCTCTGATATCTAATCAGGTTATTTCCAGTATTATTTGGGTAGCCAACAAACCGCTGCTTCAATTATCTGCTATTTATGCTTCTAACAACCACATGGAACGCAAGGAATTATGGGACACCTTGGTGCATCTGGCTCCAAATAATGATTTCCCCTGGGCGTTAATAGGTGACTATAATTGTTGTCGTTTTGCTTATGAAAAATCTGGGGGGTACTGCTCTTAATCAATCTGCTTTGATAGACCTCAACAATATGATTTTTAGTAACAGTTTGGTGGATTTAAACTCAGTTGGGTTAAAGTATACTTGGTTTAATCAGCGCACTACAAATCTTATACACATCAAACTTGATAGTGTATTAGTTAATGAGGGTTGGCTGAACTTTTTCCCTGAATCTTATTGTGCTGTCCAAAGCCCCTCTTGCTCGGATCACTGCCCTCTCATCCTGAACCCTGGTATGAATATTCAGGTGCATCATCGCTTTCTCTTTAAAAACTACTGGACAAACATTGATAAGTACTGGGCTATTCTTTTAGACTTCTTCTCTAAACCCTGCAATGGGAATCCTATTTCCCACCTCAGGAATACTTTAAATCTTATCAAGGATGCGGTTAAGAGTGAGGTATGATCTTCTTCTTCATGTATTTATAGGCATTTAGATGATTTAAATGCTAAGCAATCTGATCTGATGGTTAAGCTAAAAGAAGACCCTACCAATGTAGTTCTTAATCACTCTTTCAAAGTTTGCACTGTGGATATAGCAAAATTTAATTCAATGCTAGCCTCTTGGATTATTCAGAGGGCTAAAGTCAATTGGATAAGACAGGGGGAGGATGACTTAAAGTTTCTATTTGCTAAAATTAGAATTAGAAGAGGTAGTTCTAAATCTGTGTTTAACTTATTGGCAAACTCCCCTTCTTCTTCTAGAGCTGATGTGGTAAGCTCATTAATTCATTATTTTCAAGGCCTTTATAATCCCCCAACTCCCCCTAATGCGACTCTCAATTGCATCCCCTCTGGGATTAAGCTGTCGCAAGCTGATGCAATTCGCATAACTTCCTATGTGCTGGATGATGAAATAAAACATGCTGTTTTTTCGGGTAACACTAATTCTGCTCCAGGTCCAGATGGATATAATTTCTATTTTTACAAATCAGCCTGGCACATTGTTGGCCCTTTGGTTTGTAGGGCTGTTCACTCTTTTTTTCAGAAATGTTACTTACCGCATGGTGTAAAAGCAACTGCACTGGCTATCATACCAAAACATAAAAATGCATCTGAATTATCTGATTATAGACATATTGCTCTATGTAATGTTCTTTATAAAATTATTGCAAAGGTTCTTGCGGAAAGATTAAAACCTGTTATGAATCATATTGTTATGGATAATCAAGCTGGCTTTCTCAAATCTAGAGTATCCACTGACAATATTTTGTTTGCTAATGATATTTTATCATATGCGGGTAAAAGCAAGGACAGTAATTATTTTTGTGCCAAGTTGGATATCAGAAAGGCTTTCGACTCTGTCAGTCGTGATTTCTTGCTTTCTAGGCTAGTGCAAAAAGGTTTTCCTCCTCTTTTTGTTAACTGGATCAAACTTTGTATCAAAGATGTTAGTTTTTCTATTCTGCTTAATGGTGCTATTGAGGGCTATTTTTCCACTTCTGCTGGTCTAAGACAGGGCTGTCCTCTAAGTCCCTACCTTTTTTGCCTTGTCATGGATGCGTTTTCCAATCTTTTGGAGAATAGGGGATTTAAAGGCATTTCTTATGAAAATTACGCGTTATCACATTTGTTATACGCTGATGACGTTTTAATTTTTGGGGAGGCTTTTGTGGATAATTGTAACAATTTGGCTAATATCCTTAGGGATTTCACACTTTCTACGAGGTTACACATAAATTATGAAAAGAGTGCCATCATGATCCCCAAAAATCAGAGGAATGTCCAGGATATTTGCCAAATTCTTTCCATCCACAACATAGTCAACAAAATTACATATCTTGGTATCCCATTATCTTTCTATAGACTGAAAATTGAAGACTTTTTACCCCTTGTGGATAGTTTAAACAAGAAAATGAATGGTTGGAAAGCAAACCTGCTATCTCTAGCGGGTAGATTGCAATACATAAAATTCACAATTCAGAATACCATCGCATATTGGATCAGGGGGTCTATTTTGCCAAAAACAGTGCTCAAATATATCAATAGAACTAGCTCTAAATTCCTGTTCTTTGGAGATTCTAATGCTGCAAAAAAGCTCCATATGGTATCTTGGGACAAAGTTTGTAGGCCTAGAATTAAAGGCGGGCTTGGCATTCCTTCCATTAGTGCACTTCAATTTGCCTACAACTGTTCTGTGATTTTTAGGATGTATAATGTACACTCACCTCTTTCCAAATGGCTTTTATGTATCTACAAGTCTCTGTGGAAACCTCCTCCTGTTTTTGCATCCAAGCAATGGAAAACTATCTGCAACACTACTGTGGGGGTCAAGCACTGTTTTAAATTCAATATTACTAATACTGCCCCTATTTCCGTTATTTGGGATCACTGGTGCAATAACAATACTATCGAGGAGTATATG